AGCCAGTATATCCGGGGATCAACGGTCGAGATGAACACGATCCAACGGCTCCTAGGATAACTGAATGCACGACCCCCGAGGTTGAAATCGATTTAGCGCGTGTTTTGACATCCGCGCGTAAATTAGACGCGACCTAGGTTATTCTTGGTTGAGTCGAGCGACCGGACAGGTCCGACCAATGATTCTCCCATCAAGCCACCTAGACCTCGTGCCAAATCCACCTGGACTCGTCATGAACTCCCCGCACCAGGTTGAGACCCCTGGCTCGGGGAGTGGGGGGCAATTGATGATGGGTGATTTGGCCCGACCTAGCGAGAAGGGGACACATGGACGCAACCTGACTAAGGGATGACAGCTCAGTCTGGCAAGGCTAGTTCGCAACGTTTGAGCTTGGGTATTCAGCCACCTCGGCCCAAAACTCACCTCGACTTCGGGGCACCTCCGCATTCAATCCAGTTTGGAACTAAAGAACCGAAGTATCAGCTCGGGGCTAACAATCTGAACTGCCATGTAACGACCCCGGAAGTTTCTCTAGTAGACTCCGAACCTCACGGGATCACGTTGCGTAATGGCGGGCCTTATCTTCTCCCCTCTCGGATTGGGCGAAAACGATAGACTTTATTGACTGATACGTTACCCCCCGACTAAAGCGGAAATAGATCTCATCCCCTCAGGTCGAAGATCCCGAAACCATTCCGTGAAACCCACGGGAGCTCATCTATATAAGACCAGCAACCCCTCCAGGGCCCAAGTATGCGTGATTTCTCTACTCTCTAGCTCTCAAACTCTCAAAGCATTCAGCTCGCATCATAGTACACTAACTTAAGCATCATAGCGACCTCGCCGGGTTAGCCACCCTGGGTTCTCTGATCCTCTATCTTACAAATTCATCTAGCTCGCTGCTCGATTGGAAGCCAGATCACCCTCTAGCTAGGAGTAGTCAGATCACGCTCATCCAAGATGCATAGAGAGTTTATATGACGCATGAGTGATGCTTCCGCCTATGTCAATAAGTCCATTCCCAAGACAACTTGGAAGTCGTCCAGGGGCACCATTGATAGATTAGTCTTGCTTGCCCACGGCCCAACTTGGAGATCAACCCCATGAGCCATGCCTTTAATCGCCTTGGCCCCGGAGTTCACAGCCTTGAGCCACCCTGTCTCTTTCACAATATTCAAATTGAGTCGCTTGGCCTCAGCAACTGAAATGGAGTTGTGGGAGGCCCTTGTATCAATAAGGGCTTGAGTCGGCTTCCCGCTGAGGAGGATGTCTACATACTTCAACCCCCTTTGGGCTTTCTTTGGCCTTCTGTGATTGGCCTCTTTCTTTACCATGGCGTTGAAGAGTTGAAGGGCGCCCACTCTTGGCGCCGACATAGACTTTTCCTCATCACTTTGCGTCATCACTGAGCTTGACGACAAGGGCATTGATCTTCCTCCTGGTTGGGCAGTCGCGAACCAGGTGTTTCTCTCCACAAAGGAAGCAAGAACGTGGGGGCCCAGCGGTTCTGGGCTTGTACTAGTGCTAAGGGCCTTGCTCTCCTTGTGGCTTGTTCCCGTAGTCTTGTCTTGTTGTCTTCTTGAAGCTAGAGTTGTCGTATGGAGGGCATGGATGACTTGCTCCCCTACTCAAATTTGGAACACATGGGCCTTTTGGCTTAGGGGCTTCTTCATCTGACAAGCTCGTCTCATTGAGTTGCTTGCCACTGCCATTGCCATGGCGAGGTCCTGCACATTGCGGCCTTGGAGCTCTAGTTTGGCCATGGCTTTAGTCTGTCCATGAAGTTGAACAGTAGATCCTTGTTGGACATGTCCGTGATCTCCAAGGTAAGGGCTGAAAACTCTCTGACATAATCATGGAGTAAGTCCCTATGCTTGAGCGCTTTCAACTTCTTCCGCACCAGGTACTCCATGTTCTCTGGGTAGAATTGCCACTTTAGTTCTCGCTTGAAATCAGCCCATGTCTTAATGGTACACACACCCCGTTTAATGTCTTAGAGTCGCCTGTGCCACTATAACATAGCAATATCAGTAAAATACATTATCACTATACAAATCGGAGTTAGGTCATCATCAATGCTAGTGGCAAGGAAATATTGTTCCATTTGCCACAAGAAGTTGTCAAGTTCTCTAGCGTCTCGGGAACCGGCATAAGGTGTGGGCTCCCGAATTTTCACACAAGTAGGGGCCAATGTTGTGGAGGGGCTTGGAGTGATGGCCACTAATCTCTTGAGGAGCGTCATGTCTCCTCCTAGTTCATTTAATTGTGCCCGGAGGTCAGTAGGAGCGGCCATGGCTACTTTCATAGTCATCCATTCAGCTCTCATCTCATCAACTTGGTCTTGGATGTTGGATCGATATGAGCTCCCTTCTTGTCGGGATGTTGTGCCAAGGACTTCCTTGAGGGTTCTATTTAGGACGTCTTGGACCTCGTTCATAATGCCATTTAAGCGGGCTTATAGCTTCACCATGGATCTCTCAATTGTTTCCACGTTCAGGTGGACTTCTTCTACTCGATCATGCATCTCCCCAACGGTCACTTTGCAATGAAGGATGCGTGTGTCGAAGGCAGCAAGCTTGTCAACTGACTTGTCGCGCTTGCTTGCTTTGGACGTGCGCCCCTTCGGGGCCTTCTCTGTAACGGCTTCGTCGCCTAGAGCCTCATCGGTCTCTCTAGCATAGGCAAGGCCATGTTGAATCTCGTCAATGAGTTCCTTATTGTGCTTCATTGTGCCACCACTAGTGTTGCTATGCAAGGGTCATGTGTGTTGAGGAACAACCTGCTCTGATACCAACTATCACAGAGCTTATCGACGAGACCCCATGCGACGCTCGATGGGGTCGATAAAGCCTACAAATGCAAGCAAACACACAAAAGGCAACAAGAAGACACACAAATTAGACAAAAGGCAACTTGTATTGTATTAATCAGTGATAAACACAAGCACACAGTTCAATGTCGAGCGGATCTTGTGCTTAACCTTTACATGCTTATGACTCACTCAACTACTTACCTCCCCTCAAAGAATACGTTAAGCTTTTGAGAAAATAACAAAAGGAAACATCAAAAGAATGAAAATTCATACTAAGTAATTATAATAATGCCATTTGGCAGTCTCCCCTTACAATATACATACATAGCCACCCATGACACCATAAATGCACGCTTGACACTATGGCAAAGGGTTAGAAGTTTGAATCACTTCTACTTTTTCTCTTGCTCCTTTCACCGCCTTCGGTCATCACGTGTAATGTCGCATTTATGGGTTTTTTTTTTAATTTTTATACAGATGTCAGGAGATTACTGTCATGGGCTAAATATAAGTGTTAGAGTAAGTGGAGCCAAACAAGTGAGGGACATTGAGATGGGAGTGGGGCTCTGAATGTCGGTAAGTTGGCTGGCACTTGGCAGGGGCAAGCACAAAAAGTTTGTTTGACAGCATTTCACCTACGAAGAAATAGAAAGGTCAAGTGGGTGGATATACTGGGTAAAATATAAGCATCTTCCAACCGGGGATGCCTTCGGTTTCTTCAAACTGAACCAATTGGGTCAGTTGACTGAATTTTGTTTTATTCGATTTTTTATGAAAACCGCTTCTTTAATCGTGCGGTTGCTTCCAATACCTCCACTCCATCACTATCCACGGATGATACTCGGCTTACGCTTAAGACATGTCTTCATGAACTAATGACCCAGCCAGCCATGGTTTTTAAAATGTCACTGAATGATGGAGACAATGGCACGTGAAGTTCTAACGTGCTACTTACTTCTATATAGTTATAGTTTAATTAAGCATTCGCCAAAGGTCCCATGGTCTAGTGGTCAGGACATTGGACTCTGAATCCAGTAACCCGAGTTCAAATCTCGGTGGGACCTTATTTTTCCTCTTGTTTTTAACTTCATATTTTTTCACTACGACCTTTCGAGGCATTGTAGAATATTAATTTTCTTAATAATCACTAATATTCTG